ACTTGATATGCCTCCTCCTCAATAGTATATCATTTTCTATTGCCATCGCGTCTCCTGTTTTTCTGGCCATTACAATTATGGTATTTTGAACCTTGGACGCATTGATCGTACAAACCAAGTCATGTGACTCCCATGAGATCTCGCCGGCCACTTTCAAAAAAATCTTTATTGATCATGAAAAATTGTTGTTCTGATTAACCCAGTGGCAAATAATACGTCACTCCGGAAAATACATCGTCAACTAAGTTTCGGCCTCGTGCGTTTAAACGGTGCTAAAATAAACTTTGACATTTACAGTTGTAAACCCATTCCAACCCATGCGATTAACTATACGTATTCCTGGCTCGAAACAAACCCACTCGGGTACGTCTGCCCTATGTCTAATTCTGTTAAACAGCGGAGAAAGCCACTAAGTTGGATTTACATTCCAAATGAACGTACCTATATTTATATACACGCCACAAAAACGTGATGACGTAATTTTACTTACAGATGTTGATGAGTGTGCAACTGGCGATGATAACTGTGACGTCAATGCTGACTGTTATAATGGTCTGGGTAATTATGGATGCCTATGTAGAGATGGTTTTACCGGCGATGGATTTTCTTGTGTCGGTAAGTTCAATCGATTCAGCTTCAGTATATATACATATACACTACTATACTTTCATCGCATTAAGATTTGTGTATAAGATTTTAACATTGGCAGTTTCTCAAATTACATATTAACATATGATGAGTATTCATGTTGAAAAACAAAGATGTAGACGATGAAAGTTATGTATTCAATATACTAGCTTTACTAGTGAAACTAAATAATTGTTCAAGGGCTTTGCTTCGGTGGTGTGGTTTATTGAGACTAGCATCAATTCATTCGAACACCACAGAAGCTTAACTTATGTGGCATTAAAAACATTGTTCGCATTCAATAAATATTGATTTATTGGGGGGGGGGGAATTATGTACTTTTCTTCCATGATTATCAAAGAAATAGTAGAACAGTACTGAAAAATACTTTATTTTCGTCGGAGAGATGATTCAGTGAAAATAAAATCTAGCGAATATATCTTTTTTTCTGTATTCTACATGCAACTCATCAAAACGAAACAAATATGTGAAATTAAATTCAATACAGAACACTGAAAAAGTCATTTTAGCGAAATTTAATTCTAGCTAAAATAAAGTATTTTACAGTAAATAAATACATTGAACAGGTTACATACCCTGGACGAAAATGACTTGCGAGATCTCGCCGAGAGTGAGAGCAAGTAACGAAACTCATTACTTCCAAATTGAATCAAATAGTATTCCATTCCCTCCCGGCATTGTGTTTGCTGTCCCAAATACTATGATTCCATTGGTCAGTGAGACAGCAAAGAGATTAAAAAAAACAAGTCACGTGGCTGTCTCGTTCTTAACGTGATTCTGACGGCCATTTTTGTCTAAGATTAATTTGATGAGAAATATGGCACTCAAAGTGTTGAATTGGTTACTGTTCTTTTTAATAGATATTGATGAGTGCAGCGGGGCAAACCAATGTGGAAGTCACGTGACATGTGTGAATCAACCAGGTTCATACGAATGTCAATGCATAGATGGATTTTATCAAGTTGATGATTATTCGTGTATGGGTAAGTGATCCTCGGATTGTTCTTCTAATCCGACTTATTAAAATAAATAAAAAAACAATTTCATTCTAACATAAATACAAATATAAACGCAATAAATATTATTAACTATTATCTTTTCTCAGTGCAATTTAACGTTTACTAACTTCTTCGTTCCCCTGGCTTCAATAAAAATAACATATATATACATACATATTGTGATTCCAAACTAATACCTCCAAGTTGGCGTAGATTCATGATTAGATCCATATAAACCCGTTTCTTTCCCTTCTCAATACCATGTAATGCATCACTTTCCTGGCGTCATCTGAACGGTGACATACATAAACATATACAGTCTGTGACTCTGAAATAATATCCCCAAGTTTACAGACATTTCACAGAAACGCAATCGCCTGGAATCGACAGCACATATAAACATTTGAAATCTACAGACATGTTTTTCACCCGTAATCGTATCTTAAAAGTCTCCATTGGATGTTAGCTAACTCAGAGGGATTGGCGAGTGCGTGCATTTTAAGTTGATCGATCGTTTCACTTTACAGATATCAACGAATGTGAAACACCTGACGTATGTAAGAACGGTGCCACGTGTATAAACACAGTTGGGTCATTCAATTGTGCTTGCCTTGATGGTTTCGAAGTCAGGTTTGGTATCGATGGATGTTTTGGTGAGTTGATCTTAAAACATCATGTGTATACTCACGATAGTTACATTCATTCATGTATTAGTTTAATGCAACATTAGACTTTTGATGCACAAATGAGCTTAGATAATTTAAATTGATTCTAAAATTAGATTTAGATTCACGATCGCATCGCTGTATATGACGTCGGTTGTAATTCTCATTATTCTGCATTAGATATTGATGAGTGTGCTCGAGGAAGAGACAGTTGCCATAGAGATGCTGTGTGTGCCAACAATGTCGGTAGCTACACGTGCGTATGTAAGGATGGCTTCAGCGGGGATGGAACTATCTGCACAGGTGATAAAACATGAATTCTCACAATGTATTACCGATGACTCAACTTTAATGGTCCGACATGCATTTTCCGTTAGGCTATATAGTACATGCAATGCGCTGGTTAAAATTCATTTGATAGCATGTGGTTATATATGTTATATGCGTTCGTTTATTTCCATTTATTAACGTATCCAATGAGGTCAAGTTGATACGTATCCTTAATGACAACATCTGCCACGAGCTACATGTATGTAGGCATGACATACTGGATGAAAATAACGCGACTGGAATATAGTTATTGTAAGACATGGATCCGCGGTATTGTCAGAATGGGCGCGTTTTTAATTCGGTTATCTGCTGCCCAGTCAAACATGATAGATGGATGCGCAGCAAAATAATGTGCATTGTTTTGGGCCAAAACAATTTGTTAGCCAGTGTATGCCCATATAAGGTTACGGAAGGTTATAAAGTCAAAAATAACGCGTATATATGTATTATTGTATCCCGGTAGATGTTAACGAATGTTCACTCGGAAACTATGGTTGTGTCGCACCGGCAACTTGTACGAATGTTATCGGCGGATTCTACTGTGCTTGTCCTGACGGATTTATTTCTGATGGAAATAAAGGTTGTATAGGTAAGTGTCTGTCTATAATTGGGACTATTTTATAAATTTGTGATGAAAAGAGGGAACTGGTTGGTGGTATTACCATGTATGATGGTTTAGTGAGAGTTATAATGCGTTTGTATGCGTGATGGTATTTTTATTGTACGACGGTATATCTACATTATATGATGGTATATCTACATGTACGATGGTATATCTACATGTACTATGGTAAATATCTACATTATATGATGGTATATCTACATGTACGATGGTATATCTACATGTACTATGGTAAATATCTACATTATATGATGGTATATCAACATGTACGATGGTATATCTACATGTACTATGGTAAATATCTACATTATATGATGGTATATCTAAATGTATTATGGTAAATATCTGTAATATATTAAGAATGACAATTATGCTAGGGAGTCAGTAGTTCATTGTAGTATGTTATGAATGACAATTGTGCTGGGGAGTCCGTAGATTTTGGGAGTACGGGCAGTCTGGAATAAAGCTTGGACGTGGCCACACGTGTTGCAACAGTGTTTGTCTTTATTGACTCACAAACATTACAATATCTACATTATATGATGGTATATCTACATGTACTATTGTAAATATCTACATTATATGATGGTATATCTACATGTACGATGGTATATCTAATTGTATCATGGTATCATGGTCTATCTACAATATATGACGGTATATCCACATGCATCATGGTATATCTTAATGTGTGATGATGTATATGCATGTCTGATGGTTCATCTATATACAATGTGGTTTATCTACATGTATCACGGCGTATTTATATGTCCAATGGTTTTAACACAGCTCGAGCAATTATTATTACAGTTGTTGCTGATATTCCTTATACCAAGTACTTGTGATAGTTGCGTATAACTCTTGGCTCGTGTGCATGGCACGCGTCCAGACATTCTT